AACACCGGAACACGAGGGGCGCACGTCGGCAGTACGCGATAGGGCGACCGCTCGGCTCACCCCACATTCGCCGACCCGATGGAAATCGACAGGTTCGACGGGCGGTCACGTCTGAAAAACACCAACTACACGTGTGATTTTTGCAGGGTGCCGGGCCATCGAATCTTCGACTAGAACAAAATGAAAGCCACACGAGCAGAGTATTAGGCACGCAACAGTGGCAAAAATTCTTCAGCCAATCAAAAGACAAAAAACGAAATTCGTCAGTGATTGCGGATCTAGCTGGCGAAAAGGAAAAGATCGGAAAGCGGCCGCACGATTCCGGGAAAATCGACTTCAACGAAGCTGATTCGAGGCGAGCAGGAGGAAATGATGGGGAAAAATCTCCACCCCACGACCAGTCTTCGCCAGAGAAAATCGCAGAGAAAAAATATGACTCCGCGAAAAAAGACTCTGCCGAGACGGGGAAACTCCGAGAAGACCCAAGAAATTATAAGGATTCGTTAAAGTTATCTTATAAAGATGTTTTAATGAAAACTTATGATTCTCGAGGGGCTAGAGCCTTGGAGAAATTTCGGGAGGGACTCTAGAAGAAGCAAAAACTTGTGGAGATCATACCGGTACCGAAAAACTTGGGGACAAAATGAAGGAGTGTGGAAAGAAGCCGACCTTTCCACGGAGTCAACGTCCTCTCCCAACACCAGCCCACAACGACTATCCGTTCCCCAGGGAAGACGTCGGTGGAGCTGAAGTAGCTCAAAAGGAACAAGCTGCAAAAACAGTCTCGCCCGAAGATCAAGTCAAGCCCTTTTATGTTGGTGATGGGGAGTGCATATTTCCAGCGCAGTGGTCCGATTTGTAGGTGTAACACTGCTTCGCCGTGTACTGGTAACTTGCTCCCGTCCCCCATCGTTGCAGAGAATGCTGAAGGCTTGTACTCTTCCCAAAGTCGGTCGATTACTGCCTTGTTGCAGACGGTGTGCGATGCTCCGCTGTCCACGAGTGCTTGGAGGCGTCGTCCTTTGCAGATGACCTCGAGCACGAGGGGCGGGCGTTGCTCGCAGTACCCAAAGATAGTTTTGTTAATGGAATCATAGGGTACATCCCAATATTCCGTACACACCTTTTCCTTGCTATCTGCTCGTGGGTTAGCAGCTAGCCGAGGCTGCTTGGAGAAAGCTTCTCCCTCAGTGTCACAGGATCGAATGTCCCGAGGAAAGGTTTGCTCAATGTTGCACTATCAATCAGTACAAGGTGCTTTTATACTTCCAGAATACATCAGGTAACCAGGTTTATCCTATCCAAAGGAAATAGACCCTTCTAGAAATAGAATCACCATGCGTATAGCCACGTGAGGCTATTGGCTTTAAGGGATTACGGAAGGATTACGCTAGATATAGCGCGCCAGTACATCCCGAGCCTGGTCGGTGATATAATTATAATAACAGGATAAACCAAAGGATAATGGAAAAGGAGGAATAGGAAACCAAATGAGATGAGATAAAGACCAAATGAATGAGGGTAAAAAGAGGAATGAAATAGAAAGGAAATATGGAAATGGGAAATTAGTGTAACGGGGTCGTACTCTCACACTTCCCCCCCTCAAAGCTGGGTGGTAGAAGTAACACCCTGCTTGACAAGGTTGTCGCGAAGAGGACGACGGGCGTTACCCATGTCGAGTTCAGAGACGTAGCGTCAGAAGTATCATAACCCTTCCAACAAAGAAGAAGCTCCAGAGTGCCAGTCTGACGATGACGGTGTCCGAGCACGTAGTTGTCCCATGGTGTGGATGAACACAGGCGACGACGCTGGTTGGCATTCGGTGTAGGGCGTGTTTGGTCTTGATAGGGTTTAAGAAGCTGGTATGGAAGGCGTTATGGATCTTCCAAGTGGCTGGTAGGCGGAAGCGAAAGGTGAATGAAGTGACCTTTGCTTCAAAGAGGATAGTCCCGCAGAAGCAAGGTTGAAGCTTGGATGGAAGTTGGCTGATGTCGCGATTATGGTCTCGAGAAGGGTAGTGATGAGTTGCCAAGTGCTTGTGCTGATGTTGGATGTCCAAGAGGCGTGTCCGGTGTTAGAGCTCATGGACAACGGAGATCAAATGGATTTGTCGGGTGGCGTCCGTAACAGACGAAGTACAGCGTCTGTCCAGTAGCAGCGTCAGGAGCATACTTATAGGCAAACTCCAGGACGAGCAGATGCAAGTCGGAGTTGGAGATGTAAATGGTTGGAACAGTGTGCTGTAACGTGCAGATGAGTGGCTATGTTGTCCGAGCTGTGCATGCTGTTACCCGTATCTGGTCCACGTGTGAAGATCACCAAGTGTTGGTGGTATGGCAGTCATGTGATAGTACTGCTTCTGTCGAGCTGGTCCATGCCTTAGTGTTGTCGCGAGTCGTACCCACTCGGCATCGTAGTGCTGCGGAATGGAGAGCAGAATCACTTGTAGTAATCCTGTCCACCACGCGGTCTGCTACTCACATTGCCTTGAGTACAACAGCGCATGCGAAGTGCTGCTCAGCGTATCCCTTGTGTTTAGAACCATGCGAGGGGTTGGTACCATAGACGCGGAGCTGGTAACTTCCAGAATCGGCGCCAAGTAGTTTCCCTCGGTGGTTGCTCAGTCAAGGAATCTCAGCTGCGTAGATATCCCACGGTGATGGGTTAGGACCTCTGGGAATATTAGGGGTATTCCCAAGTAATCCTCTCCCATTTCCAGATGAGCATTGCTGACAGCCAATCCAGTATGACCTTATGCACGTCCAGTTTAGCACGGAGGCCATCGGTAGGCATCGGTGTCTGGCTCACATATTGGGATAGGTCTTCTGGTGCCATCATGTGTTGTCTCTTTCTGTTGCTGTCCTTGAAGTAGCGTTGATGTCGAAGAAGTCTCAGCTACTCAGCATCGGTGTTGAAGTCTGCTCCATTTCGGCAAACAGGGGTGTTGTTGGAGATACGCGGAGTCCTCTATCCGGAGTGGCGTCGGCGCTCCATTCCACGCCTATCTGCTTCCGTGGAGTTGGTGCTGGTGATGGATTGGTTGTGACGCAGGTTTTATGACTTTAAGGAAAGCCATAGGCCATGAGGACTTGTATACCGGTAGAGTACCGTAGTCCCCCCATCCTCATAAGAGCAAATATCTTCTGCTCTTGAGGGTATATGGCATTGCCATGATGTTCCCTCGCATAGTGGTATCTCCTTCCCACTAGCTGGAAATCATAGGACTGTGCCTGGCCAGGTCTTAACGATCCACTGGAATATAATCCAGCATTATCTCCATTGAGTGGAGAATTATCCATCAGGATTTGGTTGTGACTGTTATGTCGAGTCTTCTGCTGCGGCGGCGGCGGCGGCAGCTGCTGCAGAGAATTCTCTCAACTCGTACCGGTTGAAGGAGAATCCATCAACTCCCTCTTTCCAGTAGAGTGTTCCTGATGGGTGTAACAGGCGTAACTACCAGGAACACGTGCACAGTAGTACACATGTGTTGCTCCATTGCTGCCGGTGATTGTTTCATTTGAGGGTATGAAGAGAAATTTGCTTCTCCCCTCAATGTATCCACGGGTAGCAATTCTTGGTATGCTCATCCGTGCCTCCGATGTACGGTCGGTAGAGCGCGTGATCGTGTTGTAGTAGTCCGCATCTCCCTCATTTGTTGACACCTCGTGTTGCTTGACGTTCTCCTGCATCGTCGAAGTTACGTTGGTGCTTGTAACGCTTCGGCTTCTGGTAGAATCGCCTCCAATGCATGTGCCGTAGGGTTGCTAGTGAACGAGTACTTGCCAGATTAGAGGTTAATTACTCCTCAATCTGTCAAGCATCGTGACATGCACGGAAAATTCTCCACGCATGTCATTAACACCTGGAATCGCGACGCATGATTGGTGTGTCGCCTCGTGAGGTTGATGTTGAGACTGCTCCAATCAATCACCTCGGATGGCTGAGATTCTTGATGAAGACGAATCGTTCAGCTCCTGTTACGAAGTAGTGTCTCGCTGGCCTTGACGAGACGGGTTCACTGCGTCGTCGTTGCGTGCGAAATCTGCTCCTTCGCAGCAACTTGAACTTGGGAGCATTGCAAGAGAAAACGGCTACTTCTCTGCAATCCCATAGGTTGTCGATCAATTTGTATGAAGTGTCTCGTGGATGGAGAACATGTCTTCACGCAGCTCCATTGTTTTTCCTGGGTGAAGATCCCGTCGTGTTGATGTCGATCCATTTTTAACGAAGATGACTTCGTCAAAATAACTCGATCGTTATCCACATCAGTCAGAAGATGCGTCGATTGTGCAGTCGCTGGTCACGAATGTTGTCTCCATGATGATGATTTTCCATAGTGTAGTCTCCTGCAGCAATTTTCGGTCGTCGATGTCGGCTGTCGAGCGATCCAACGCTCCGAAGAATTTCGCGGCTTGCGAGGTCCCGTTCCCATTCGCGCCGAAACTCGAACTCGCTCAGGAGGATCTCGTTTTCGCCTCGGTCGATCTGAAGCGTCGAATCTCCATCGGACGGATGTCGTTGGTCGAACCTCCGCAGAGTTCCGCGCAACTCCAAGTGTTGTCGCGAACTGCGAACTTCTCCGAATGTCGCAGGGAGTGTTCCGCCGGATTCGACACGCTCGCCAGGTTGAGGCCATTTGCCCCCGCGAAAATTCGGCACCGTCGATGCAGTCCATCGAACAGTTGGCGAGGCATCTCGCCTTCGAAGGGGACCCCAGGTGCAACTGCGAGAGGTGAGTCGAAACTTAAATGAAAGTGCATTGTACTTACAGGAATTGAAGTTTCGACTCCATCCTCCGCGTGCTCCTAGGGGCCCAGCGGTTAAGCGTTGAGCTGAAACCTTGGCTCTGATACCAAGTGTCACAGGATCGAATGTCCCGAGGAAAGGTTTGCTCAATGTTGCACTATCAATCAGTACAAGGTGCTTTTATACTTCCAGAATACATCAGGTAACCAGGTTTATCCTATCCAAAGAAAATAGACCCTTCTAGAAATAGAATCACCATGCGTATAGCCACGTGAGGCTATTGGCTTTAAGGGATTACGGCAGGATTACGCTAGATATAGCGCGCCAGTACATCCCGAGCCTGGTCGGTGATATAATTATAATAACAGGATAAACCAAAGGATAATGGAAAAGGAATAATAGGAAACCAAATGAGATGAGATAAAGACCAAATGAAAGGGTAAAAAGAGGAATGAAATAGAAATGAAATATGGAAATGGGAAATTAGTGTAACGGGGTCGTACTCTCACACTCAGGACCCTGAGCTTTCTTGACGACTGTGTGTGTCGTTGATGCTGAATTTGCTGAGCTGGATGCATCTGAAGGAGGAGTTCGGTAAACCGTACCGCAAGCATCTACAACAATAGAAGGAGAGTCCAGCTACCCAACTGGGACGATACAGGAGATATCCCAGTAGAGAAACTCTCAAGATTCAAGAAGGACGTAAATGAACCGACACCAGGTTCCTGGCGATAGCGACGGGTGTGGAAAGCAACGGAGAGAAAGCCTCAGAACCTCCACAAAAAATCAAGGAATTACTGAAGGAGTTCCAAGACATTCTTCCCGACGACCTTCCGAACGAGCTGCCGCCATACCGAACGCACCAACACGAGATCGTGGAAGAACCAGGTTCAAAGCCAACATTCCGAGCACCATATCGGCTCAGCCCAATGGAGCTAGCCGACATGAAGAAACAGATCGAGTATCTCATCGCAAAAGGACTCATCCGACCATCAACTTCGCCATACGGTGCCCCAGTACTCTTCATACCGAAACCAGACGGAAGCCTGCACATGTGCATCGATTATCGAGCTCTCAACAAGCAGACCATTAAGAACAAATACCCGATTCCACGAATCGATGACCTGCTTGACCAGCTTCGGGGAGCCACGGTAATTTCCAAACTAGATCTGCGATCCGGATACTGGCAGATACGAATGGCAGACAATTCCATCCACAAAACTGCTTTCCGCACTCGGTACGGGTCATACGAGTATCTGGTAATGCCGTTCGGACTCACCAACGCACCGGCAATGTTCCAAGCCGAAATGAACCATATTCTATGCCCACTCTTGGAAGAATGCGTGGTGGTGTACATGACGACATCCTCATCTACTCGCGCGACATCGAGCAGCACGTACAACACCTGCGATGCGTCTTCGACATTCTTCGACGAGAACGATTCTACGTCATGTTATCCAAGAGTGAATTCGCCCTCGAGAAAGTCCAATTCCTAGGACACATGGTGAGCACTCAAGGAGTTCACGTCGACCCGAAGAAGATCGAAGCCGTATGCACGTGGAAGACACCCGAGAACGTGAAGGAGTTGCAGCAGTTCCTAGGCTTTGCTAACTATTACAACAGGTTCTTGCTACTGTTGGTGCAACCCTATGGCTTGCACTCGGCTTGTCGTCCTTGTTTGTGTGTGTGCCTGCATGGCATGGAATGACTTGTGAGTCTATGTCATTGCTATCTAGTGCTTGTGTGTGTGTTTGAATGGTGTATCACAATGTGGTTTGTGTCGGTCAAGACATTAGCGAGTTTTCACAACTCGCATGTCAAGTCGTCGTTTGCGTGTCGCATGTGTTTTTCTATTTTGTCGAGTGTGAAGTGTCCATCGCGTTGCAGGTGTGTGCAGCAAGCCCTCATCACTTCAAGAAGAATTTATCTTGCAGAATCAAGACCAAGAGCTCAATATTTCAAGCCCAAGGGAAGTGGATTAATATTAAAACAGTGAAAATAGTAATGCTACTTCATGAAGTGTTACATTTCAGTTGGTCCAGCCCGTTGTTGAGTTTGTTTCGAGTTCCTTTTGTGGTTGGGAACTCTGTGCTGGTGTACCACCACCCTAGACCTCGGCTCTTGGGGCTTGTAGAGGCTGACAACAATCCCAATCTCGATTCTTCTTGCTAAGGTTGTACTTCTAAGACTATAGTGGCTACGATACCTCCTGCCAGTCAAACTGTCATGGTGTCGTCAAATCTTCATGGAATTTCATGATTCAACTTGCTTTTGATAGGCGACAGCAACGCCCTCTAGATCCAACTTATAGATTGACGTTTGACTCAGCGACCAGATTGGCATCAATATTTGAAGCCGTCTGAGAGAAATCCGACTGTGCACTCTATCTCTCATTTTAGGCACATCTGATCTATTGTGATTATAACAAGTGGTATCAGAGCCCCTTGTAGCCATTTAGACCATGCCTAGACCTGAGGAAGGGGGTGGCATAGGTGCTGGAGGATGAGAAGACGCCCAAGCACAAGGTCAACACCAAGTTCCACCCGTTGCTCCCGTGCAACCTAGCCTTGGCCCCTCTAGGGATGAGCCTAGAGTGTTTGGCCTTGACAAGTTCAACGGTGACAACTTTGCTGAGTGGTCTTTCAAGATGCAGAAAATCTTTGACCAATATGATATACTAGAGGTGATGGAAGGAACGGAGAAGCGCCCCGAGAGCGACCCAGAGAAGAGCCCGTGGGTGCGGAAGAGCGTACAAGGCTACCTTCTACTTGGGCAAGCATTGGGTAGCAGCCAACTCCGTCACATCAAGTCTTTTCAGCGTGAACCAGCAAAGGGACCAAAGGCATGGGCTGCTCTCAAGGGTGTATACGCTCCTGCAGCAGCAGCGGTGGCTGTGGTTTTGGAGCGGCAAATGGCGGCACTTCGAATTGACGAAGGCGAACCGGTGGAGGAAGGAGTGCAGAAATTCTTCGACTTGTTGACACGGCTCGAAGGAGCTGACCTGGACTATAGTGACCTTCAAAAGAAGACCAAGCTACTGGCCTTACTTCCGGACTCATGGTTCTCGCTCATCATCAACCTAAATCGAGATCTGCCCCGTCTCTCACTCGAAGATGTGAAGCGAGAAAACTTACAAGAAGATTTCCGCCGTCGCGAATTGGCCGGAGTTGCAAGCATGGGCCGTGGGCACGGCCGTGGAAGGGGCAGAGGGCGAGGAGGCACATTTGACAGCAGTTACTTCAATGGAGGCCGTGGTAATGGAGGATATGGCAGCAACAACAACAACAATGGCTACGGGCGTGGGCGAGGTAGATTTGATGGCGAATGTCACTTTTGCCACAAGATCGGCCACATGTGGAGAGATTGCTTCAGATTGCCTGATGGATGGACCCCTTCTCAAGGCCAAGAGGGCAGAGGAGGAAGGGGAGGAAGAGGCAGAGGTTGTGGAGGCCGTGGTGGTCGTGGAAGCGAAGCGGCAAGCATGAAAGGTGGAGACTACGAGACGGGCCCAAGTGAAGAGTGGTGCAGCAGCTAAAGATGGTGGAAATGAGGAGAAGAAGGCTAAGATCAGCAAAGCAGCAGCGGCAAAGGAGAAAGGAGAGAGCTTGTGGGGCACAATTGCGAGTGCCGCTTTCTCCAACCCGACTTCCGCTACGGGAGAATGTGATTGGCTGACCTTGCATCGGCGAATGGGGCATGTGGCATTGCCCATTTTGCAGCAGATAGTTAAGCAAGAGATGGTCAGTGAGATACGTGTCAAGGGGGAGCCCAATGAGGTGCTTGGCTGTCCAACATGCATGCAAGCCAAGTTCACCCGCTACCCGTTCCATAGCTCGGAGACAACGGCGAAGGCACCACTTGATGAGGTGGTGATGAATGTGGTGGGCCCCTTGAAGCTTGGAGCTGCTGGAGCATAGTACTTTCTCACCATTGTGGATGTCTACACTCGCATTACTTGGGTGTATGTGCTGCCCAAGAAGAGTGTTTTAGCTGAAACGGTGAAGACCGATTGGTTGTCGATGGTGGAGCGGCAACAAGACCGGCTTGTGAAGGCGATTCGCACTGACCGTGGGGGAGAGTTCCTGAGCAAGGATTTCTCAACTTGGCTGAAGAAGCAGGGCATAAGGCACTCTCTCACCATGCCCTACTCTCCTGCAATGAACGGCATCGCCGAGCGTGCGAATCGGACACTCACGGAGACGGCTCGGGGACTTCTCATTGAAGCTGGTCTACCCCATTACTTTTGGTCGGATGCGGTGTGGCATGCTTGTGTGGCCAAGAACAGAGCCTTGCTTATCTTGCAGAATCAAGACCAAGTGCTCAAGATTTCAAGCCCAAGGGAAGTGGATAAATATTAAAATATTGAAAATAGTAATGCTAATTCATGTAGTGTTACATTTCACTTGGTCCGGCCCCTTGTTGAGTTTGTTTCGAGTCCCTTCGTGGTTGGGGACTCTGTGGTGGTGTACTACCAACCCGGACCTAAGCTCTTGGGGCTTGTAGATACTGAGAACAATCTCAATCTCGATTCTTCGTGCTAAGTTTGTCTTCTAAGACTATAGTGGCTGCGATACCTCCTGCCAGTCAAACCGCCATAGCGTCGTCAAATCTTCATGGAATTTCATGATTCAATTTGCTGCTGATAGGTGACAGCAACGCGCTCCAAGGCCAACTTACAAATCGCCGTTTGACTCAGCGACCCGATCGGCATCAATATTTGAGCCGTCTGAGAGAAATCCGACTGTGCACTCTATCTCTCATTTTAGGCACATCTGAGCCTATTGTGATTATAACAGCTACAGTCCGCGAAAATCGCAACACCACTCACGAACCTGCTGAAGAAGAACATGCCCTATAATTGGGAACCAAAACATCAGGAAGCCGTGGAGAAGATGAAACAAGCACTCACGTCCGCACTCGTACCCATCTTGCCAGACCCCGAACGCGACTACGTCATCGAAGCCGACGCTAGTGACCAGGCAGTGGGAGCAGTCTCTATGCAAGACCAGGGGAATGGAATGCAACCAATCGCCTACCTCAGCAAGAAACTACACGGGGCAGAACAAAACTACCCGATACACTGCAAGGAGGCCTTTGCTATTATCATCACCTTCAAAATGTGGAGATGTTATCTCGAAGGACGGAGAACAACCGTTTACACTGACCACTGCAGCCTGAAATATCTGAAGACACAGCCAAACCTCTCCAGGTGGCAGGTCCGGTGGATTGACTTCCTCGAGATGCACTTCCACTATGACAGTGTGTACAAGCCCGGCCACAAAAACAAAGTAGACACTCTTAGTCGGCCTGCACATGTTGCCGCCAGGCAGGTCGAAGGGATGAACCCACTACTCAAGGGACTCTTCACACATGGGTATGTCATCGACCCCGAAATTCCTTTGGCAGCAAAATGACACTTGCTACAGTGGGACAATGACATCGCATACCGGAAGGGATCAACAAAGATCTGGGTACCCAATTACCCTCCTTTGCGCTAGTTACTACTCAAAAAATACCACGATGTCCTATACGTGGGACACTTCGGTAGCAACAAGACGCTCACCGGTATTGCAAAGCACTACTACTGGCCCCACATGGCAGCCAACATCCAGCAATTCATCACCTCGTGTGCAACATGTCAGCGGATGAAGAGCACCAAGCAGAAAAAAGCTGGACCTAGCCTGCTGTAGCCATCTCATCCGCCTACCATCCGCAGACAGATGGACAGACCGAGCGCCTCAACCAAATGGTAGAGCAGCTCCTCCGCGCAGCATGCAAAGACGAAATCTCTAAATGGGACTTGCACCTGCCCGTCCTGGAGTTTGCCTACAACAATGCCACTCACGCCACTACTGGACAGACGCTGTTCTTCCTCTTCTACGGACGCCACCCGCTCATGCCACAGAAACCGACAGCATCAGCTGCACTCCAACCCGCATAAGACTTCATCACGACCATGCATCAGCTTCGGGATCGGACCCACAAGCGCCTCCTCGACATTCAGCAGCAACAGAAAAGCCAGGCCGATTGCCACCACACTGACCACACCATCACCGTGGGAGACCAAGTTCTACTCGACACCCGCAATATCAACATCACTCATCTCCCATCCAAACTGCGACCTCGCTTTTGCGGGCCCTTTCTCGTTGAAGCACAGGTCACTCCTGTTACCTTCCGCTTACGCCTGCCAACTACCTGGAAGATTCGCAACGCCTTCCATGTCCAATTTCTGAAGCCCTATCGAGACCCTAACACGGTCTTCACCAGACGCCAACCCTTGCCACCGCCGCCCGTCCTCGTCCACGATGAACCCAAGTACGAGGTCGAGTCCGTGCTCACACACCGCCGTCATCGGAATGGCATCGTGGAGCTTCTCATTCGTTGGAAGGGTTATGATCCTTCTGAGGATAATTGGGTTCCTGACTCCGAGATGGGTAACGCTCGTCGTCCTCTTCGCGAATACCTTGTAAAGCAGGGTGTTACTGCTGCCACCCAGCTTTGAGGGGGGGAAGTGTGAGAGTACAACCCCGTTACACCAATTTCCATTTCCATGTCTCCTTTCTAATTCATTCCTCTTTTTATCTCATCCCATTTGGTTTCCTATTCCTGCTTTCTCATTATCCTTTGGGTTATCCTATTATTATAATTATATCACCGACCAGGCTCGGAATGCACTGGCGCGCTATATCTAGCGTAATCCTGCCGTAATCCCTTAAAGCCAATAGCCTCGCGTGGCTATACGCAGTGTGATTCTATTTCTAGAAGGGTCTATTCCCTTTGGATAGGATAAACCTGGTTACCTGATGTACTTTGGAAGTATAAAAGCGCCTTGTATGAATCGATAGTGCAACTTTTCCTCGACACATTCGATCATGTGACAAGTTCCAACGATCATGGAAACGCTTAGTATGAGTAGTTCACGGGCCTACTACTGATGAAACCTGCTCGCCCGTGACCAATGACCCGCATCGAGTACTGGTACCGATCCACGCAATCGACCAAACCCTGCTTAATAAGGAAGGTGCAGCGGCGGATTACCTAATTTATTTAGAGGGTAGGGTTCAAGGAAAAAAAAAAAAAAAAACTTCTTGGACAAGGGAGCCAGCCACAGTCTGATCAACCTCGCCATAGCAAAAAAAATGAAGTTACCCTTAGATAGGTGTTTATCGGAGATTAACAGGGCAGAAAGGATTAGGGTACGCTGCAAAACTGACTTCAATATTTCAATTGGGATGCTGGCAACTATACTCCACAACTTTGACACGGTGCTGGGACGGGATTGGCTGCGACGTTTCAATCTGAAAATTGATTGGACGACTGGCAGCTGTTCCGTCAAAATCAACGACCACAGTGTGACATTACCAGAATGGAAAAAGGGGATCACAGGGGGAGTGACGCAGGTGAACTCCATGGCGATCAAACGAGCGGTTGTACGGGGTGCAGAAGTCTTCACTGTAGTCGTTCACGCCGTCGACGTGGCATCGCAGCCGTCCGATCTAGAGAAGCCGACAGCAGCAGTGCTGGCTGATTTAGCGCATCTAATTTACAGATTTCCACATATATTTCTAGACGACCTACCCGAGGGATTACCACTGGAATGGCCTTCCGACCATCGAATCGAATTGGAACCAGGGACACAGCCCACACTGCAGCGACAATTTTGACTGGCACAACCGGAATTAGAGGAATCACGGAAGCAGTTAGATTATTTACTGGAGAATTTTTTCATCTGCCAAGCTCATCACCATTTGCCGACGAGTTTTGTAATAGGTACGGTAGTTATGGGTATGTAGTTATTCCCTTTGGACTCACGAACGCCCCATCGAATTTTCAGATGACCATGAGCCAGATCTTCTGTTCGCTTTTAGATAAGTGTGTTATAGTCTACCTGGATGATATACTGATCTACAGCGAGACCCAGGAGCAGCACTTAAAGAACCTCGAAGCATATTTCACGCTACTGCAAGAGCATCGGCTGCTCATGAAGAAGTCTAAGAGTGAGTTTTTAAAAGATAGCTTAGAGTTTCTGGGACACGTTATTTCCACTAAGGGCGTCAAAGTGGACCCGCGTAAGATCGAGATAGTGCAAGGCTGGCTACCGCCTAAGAACCTGCAGGAGCTGCAAAGATTTTTAGGGTTCGTCAAATATGTTCGGAGATTTATCCCGAATATGGCGGTGGTAACTGCACCCTTACCTGACTTGTTGCGGAAAGGGACTGAGTATAGGTGGGGGGAGAAAGAGCAAGTTGCCTTCTTTGCGCTCAAAACTTTTCTATGCTCAACCCCTGTCTTTCGCATCGCCAATCCTCACCATCCATTCGAAGTGATCATGGAAGCCAGCGACATCGCCATCGGAGTGGTACTGCTGCAAGACTTCGATGAAGGCCTACAACCAATCGCGTACGAGTCACGAAAGCTGCACCCACCCGAACGAAATTATCCGATACACGACAAGGAGATGCTCGCGATCGTGCACGCCTTCAAGGTATGGCAGTGCTACCTGACGGGCGCAGACATGATAGTATGGACAGACCACCGAAGACTATAGTACATCTGCGTGCAGCTGTGCTCAACCCACGACAGATTTGGTGGTTGGATTTCATGGAGTCCAACTTCCACTACACAGTCACCGACAAAAAGGGGGTATCAAATATTGCAGATCCCCTTTCTTGCCCATCCGCTCATCTCAACTCCATCATTCTAACCCAAACATCCCTGCTATTAACAGGCCTATTTACCCACGAGTACCGGACGGATAGGTTCTTTACGTCAGGTGCATACGAACAGCTCGCAACAGCTAAGGGATGGGGAGTGACCGCATCTGGGTACCAGAGTACAATTTATTGCGGGAGTTACTGTTATAGGAAGCCCACGACAATACCATTTCTGGGTACTTCTGAGTGGAGAAAGCATGGCAGCAGTTGACGATTTTTTTTTTTCTGGCCCGACATGCAAGGGGACATGTAGCGGCATTTTGGTTTTGTGCAGAACCTACCAAACCATGAAATCATCGAATCATAAGTCGGTTGGACAGTTGCAGCGGATTCCGCCGCTTGAGCGTGCGTGACAGCAGGTGACGATGGACTTCGTCATGGAACTGCCTGCCAAGGACGACTGTAATGATGCGATATTTGTCATCGTCGATAAGCTGACAAAGATGGCCCACTTTGCCACCTGCAAGAAAAGCATCTCAGCCGAAGAAACAACCCGCCTTTTCATCTCAACAATTGTTCGCCTCCACGAAATCCCATCCGCCATCATTTCAGAATGTGACTTGAAATTCACCAGTAATTTCTGGTACAATATCTGGGAACAGTTTGGCATACGCCTGCAACTCTCCTCCGACTACCAACTCGAGACTGATGGGCAGACCAAACATGCCAATCAAATGATGGAGCAGCTGAGTCGCGCCACCTGCGATGACGTGGCCGACTTGGAATAGCAACTGCCACTGATTGAGTTCGCGTATAATAACGCCCTGTCAGCCACGACATGACAGTCACCATTCTACTTGGATTACGGGCAGAACCATACAGTACCAATCACGCCCAACGTCGAAAATCTCGTACCTTGAGCCGAACAGTTCGGTGAAATATTACAGAATGCCCAGGAGCGAGCAACAGAAGCCATTAAACGCGCGAATGTTATTTCTAAGCGCAACGCCGATCTACACCGGTGCATAGTAACTTACCAGGTTGGGGATGTAGTACTGCTCGATACCCAGAACCTTCAACTGCCCATATCCCAAAACTTCGGCCTCGCTAGTGTGGACCATTTACCATTAGCCACATGCTATCTTCCGTTGCAGCTCATCTACTGTTACCGGCCACCTGGAACGTCAGCCCATTATTCCACGTGCGATTAATTCGACCATACATCGCCAGCACCAATAAATTACCACGTCATCGAACAAATCTGAACATCTGACCACTCGCCGAGCATACTGTCGAACTTGCAACGGTTCTCAGCCATCGGATCAAGGACCCTCAAGGGGCTCGCTTGATCGAGTTTCTGACATCTTGGAAGGACCGGACGGCCCTGGAAAATAGTTGGGTGCCCCTGACACAGATCGAGAATCACCCAGTGTTACGAGCCTACCTCCAGTCATGCAATGTGCACGACATCGGCAGTCTTAGCTAAGACCATACCTTGGAGGGGGGAGGGTGTAAGGAAACGGTATTTCCTTATCACGGGTTTTAGTTAGTAAGGCGTACACTGCTATAACGGGGTTGCTGCACAGCTCTGCCACGAAATTCAAATCGCGGTACCCAAATGTGGCCTTCTGACGAGCCGCATGCATTTTGCCCGCATTGCTGTTTCATGCCTAGATCTGGACGCTTCGCGCCAATTTACGAACCACACGACGCAGCTCTGCTGAGCCATGGCCGTGTGCTCTAGGCTGGCTATATCCATGCTCCCTGCTGTTTTTATGTTGCCTCAATTGTATTGCTTCCTCATTACTCAATCCTTTGACACACTCTCTTTGCCCTTCATTATATCTAGACATTCTAAACGTATTTATAAAGACAAGGTACACCCATAGCATGGAGACCACAAGGAGAGGGGAAGCAGAAAATGTCAAGCGGGGAGAAAGAAACAAGGAAGAGCAAAATGAAACAAATCGATGCGCACAAGAAGAAACCAAGGACCCCAAGGGACAAAATAGGCCAAAATAGGCCAAGGTGAAGGTCAAGGCCAAGGAAGGCATTAGGCAAAGGTCTGATACGTGTAAACCAAATTTTATTGTACATGCTAGCCATTCGCATCTTTGGTTCGGACCTTTTGGGATGACATGACATGACATGACATGAACTGTCAATAAACATAATTATATAGGCTAGCTAGTTTATATTTGTTATAGCCTTAGGTAGGTCAGTTCTTAGAGGGTACAGTCCTAGCTTTGTAACCCTCGACATTTTCCCTTAGCTCATCACTATCTCGACAATCTAACATGGCATCTAGAGCTAGGTCTCGCCATCTACTCACGCTTCCGCCCTAAGCACACCCTAGCCTAGCACGCCTCGACCCTAATTGTGTGCCTCGTAGCTCGTCCCCTCCCCCCCCTCTCCTCTTCGTTGCGTAGCTCACGCCAGCCGCCGCTAGCCCGAGCCCGTCAGCGCCTTAGTTTGTAGCCGTCCCACCTCTCACCACCCGTTTGCCTGCATCAGCTCGCGCCAGCCCGCTTGCTCGCCAGCTCGCAAGCTCGCCAGCTGACACGCTCGCCCGCTCGCCCTTCCCGCCTGCTCACTTGCTCGCCTGCCCGCCAGCCCACTTGCTTGCCAACCCGCCTGCTCGCCTATTCGCCAGCCCGCCAGCCCGCCAGCAGCCGGCAGCCAGTGCTAGCTGATGCCACCCGTTGCCACTACCGCAGCTACTACTGCCCGCTGCCGCTCGCTGCCGTTTACTGCCGACCACTGTCGTTGTAGCCGCCACTACCGCAGCCACTGCTGCCGCCACTGCAGCCGCTGCCACCGCTGCCTCTGTAGCCACCACTGCATCTGCAGCCGCCGCTGCTACTCCTGTTGCCACTGTTGTTGTCCACTGTCCACTTCGGCCTCCAGCAGCCGGCCACCAGCCACCAGCACCAGTCACCAGCCGCCAGCAGCCGACCGCCGACCCTCAGCCGTCAGCCGCCAGCTGCCACCACTCGCGACCAGCCGCTGACCACCAGCCACCTGCGGTAGTCAGCCACCAGCCGCCAGTCGCCAGTCGACCGCCTGCCACGTGAGTCCCCCGTGTCCTGTGGACTATGCTTCGTCCTGTGCTGCCAGTCCTAGTGCCTCCTAGCTAGCTCCTTGGCGTACTGCTCCTAGTAGATCCTCTCGCGCGTACTTCCTCCTTGTTTTCTCCCCACTCCTCCTAGCAGCTCCTAGCCTACCGCCAGCCACCAGCTAGCCACTACTGTCGTCTTACTGTAACTAGCCGCTGTTGCTACCGGCCTCGTGATCGCTGCCACTGCTCTGGCCACAGTCCCCACTGCTACTACCTCCGATTGTGCTCCTCTAGCACCTAGTGCCTCCCACTAGTCTCCTCCTCGTTTCTAGAGTTCCTCGATGCCTATCCTCTCGGCATGATGGCCTCGTTCGGGTTAGTCCCTCGGCCAGACCGCCGGGCACTTCCCTCCACTCTCTGATTTCTCGCTCACCGTCAACATTTGGTGAGCCCGCACCTAGACTGCACACTCCTAGAGGATCACATTAGTTACCTCATTGGCTTCTGGCTCCACGACCTAGACGTCTGCTTCTGGGCTCTCTGGCCAGTGTCGCAGCCGCAGCTGCAGCTGCAACCGCAGCAGCAGCAGCGGCAACAACCGCAGTGGGGTCTTGGGCGTGCTGGGCGAGGTGGAGGATTTGGAGGTGCGGCCTTGGGGTGGTCACTGCTCTGGGGCCAATTTGGTTTCTCTAAACGACCGAAGGCCTTGGGGCCTAGGGGTCTAGGTCCCACCATTATGTCTAGTCTAGGAGCCTCTACTACGTGTCCACTAGGCTCCTCCCTTGCCCCTCCTGAGGCAGCCCTCTCCTTTATCCTTGACTCGAGCGCATCTCTTTGCTTCTTTAGAGACAGTACTTCTCTCACCCCGCTTCCTGCGCCTGTCCGTGTCGCACTAGCAGACTCCTCCGCCACATCTGTTGCACGTAGCACCACCAGTCTCCCTTGTCCATCTGTCCTCTCCGGCTCCCTCACCGTTCTGCACATCCCCTCGTTTGCCAGGAACCTAGTGGGTGTCGGTCACCTTCAGGTGCGAGGTGTAACCACAATGTTCCCTGGCTGCGAGAGACACGCCGCTTGCACAGACACAGCCACCGGTCGGCACTTAGCCACGTTTGAGCGTGACCCAGCGTCAAGTCTCTTTACACTGCACACTGAGTCCCCGCCAACTGCTGCGTCTGCCGCGGTTTCCGCGTCATGCTCCTGTCACTCCATCCACCACCCGGGCAGGGCCATGCCTTGGTCCATGGACTTAGTTGGGAGCGCTACTTTCTAGTTGACGTTGATGACTTCTCTCGTTTCACCATAGTGTTCTCGTTGGAGAAGAAGGCCGACGTGCATACCGTTCTCCTCCAGTGGCTTCTTACTGTTCGCACCCACCACCGCCTGCCTGTAGGTCGCTTACACTCTGACCGTGGTGGCGAGTTCGCCTCTCGCACTCTAGGACAGTTCTATCGTGCGGAGGGCATCCGCCAAACGTACACACTGCCGCACACCCCACAACAGAATGGGCTCACTGGCACGCCGGTGCATCCCATTTTCTATGGCCGTTCACCGTGCGCTACGCTGCTCACCAGCTTAACCTGTGGTCGCGCTCCTAGCGACCACAGGTTTCACCAACCCTCCTTTGGACTAGGTCTCCTAGTGACGCTTCTGCGTTCCACGTCTGGGGCAGCCTTGCTCACGTCTGCGACACTCACGCGGACAAGCTTTCAGCCCGCACCCTTCCTTGTGTCTTCCTGGGGTTTCCACTCGACGCCTCTGACAGGCTTTTCTACCACCCCTCCCACCACCGCTTTTAGCACTCTCATGACATTACCTTCGACGAGACGCTCCCCTACTACTGGCGCTTCCCGCACCGTAG